TAGATCATCGTTTTTAAAATGTTATGGAGGATAAGTATAGATGGATTTTAGATACTCACCACACCCCTTTTGGAAATGACCAGCTTAGAAATTCTGTAATCCCAAAAGTTCATCTAATTCTGTTGAGGTAGAAAGAACCACTCATTGTCCTGAGCACTAAAAGATGTTGTTTACCTAAGTTGGGAGGACTTTTAAGGTTGAGCTCCAAATGTGAATAGTAAGGATCTTTCTTGGGGAAATCAAAAAAAGCTCATTCATTAAAGGGAGTGAAAAATACAGAGTGTCTGAAAAAATGGATAAACTATTCCTGACAAATTGAAACCCTGATGTGTCATGTGAAAATGACATTTTTCTAGACTGGTAAGTCCAGAAAAGGATTAAAAAACATATAGAGAATTTAGCATATGGTAAAGATGTCATTTCAAATCAGTGATTTAAAAATGGATTTTTCAGTAAATATTGTGTGGAGTAAAAAAACTGAGTAAAAAATAAAATTCTGGGGAAAAAATAAAGTTAAATCCCTTTCTTAGAGCGTATAGCCTCCCCTCCCTCCAAAAAAGCAAAGCTGTTTTCCTTGAGATGATTTTACAAATGGAAAACTTCTTTCTAAGGACCACATAAAACCCAGAAGTCATTAAAAAACAAGAGAGAAAAATTCAGTTCTAAAAAAATAGATTTAAAACTGTGCATAGAAAGAGCACCATAAAGAAAGTAAAAAGACAGATGACAAACGAGAAAATATTTCTAACTCAAATCTCTGATACTTGAAGAGCTTCTAAAATACAACAGTAAAAACCAAATCTAACCAAAAAGTGAAGGAGGAAAATGTTCACATAAGAAAGGAAATATGGATACCTCTAGAAGCACATGAGAAAGGTGCTCAGCTGAACTTGTGTTAAGAAAAATGCAAATTAAAACTGTGAGTGAGACGTCTTAGTAACCTATTAATTGACCAAGGTGAAGCACTTTGATAACTGTATTGGAAAGGAGTGGGGAACAGACAGTGTCGTACACAGCTGGCAATCGTGTGAGCGATTACAGCTCTGCAGACGTTTGGGGATAGCTGTCAGACTCTGAATGTGCGTTCCCTGTGACCCAGGAGCTGCATGGCTAGGAATTCATGCTGTGGATGAAGGATAGAGTGTGAGGATTAAATGTAGAAGGTTATTCATTGCAGCATTGTTTATAATAACAAGAGACTATGAACAGAGAATTTGGTAAAACATTATGACACAGCTAATGAGACCCTTCAGAGCTGGTGAAAAATAAACTGCAAAGGACAGTAAATCAAAGTCATACTGAGTATCAAAGTTATATTGTAAACTTGATAAAGCAAATTGCAGAGAACTGTGTTAGATATAACCATTGTGTAAAAGGAAAACACCACCACCACCACACACACACACCTGCTTTAGCATGTGCATAGATCCTAGCAGGACATTCAAGAGTTAGTGGCAATGAGTGCCTTTAGGACGGAAACAGGACTAGAGGGACGGGACTGGAGAGAGACTCACTTTTCAATGTTTTGTGTGTGTGTGTGTGTGTGTGTCTGAATTAAAACATTCAGTTTTCAGTTGTCCTACTCATTACTCAAAAGTAAATAATTTCTAAATAAGTACACTTTCGTTTGGCTTTAAAACAGAAGATACCTCTCTGCTGTCAAGGTGGCCCGTTACACCTCATTCCCAACTGTGACTGCTCTGGACTTAGGGAAGGAATTACTGCAGCGTATGATGTCTGGTTTTGTTTTCCAGGACCTTGTTGGCATTAGGATGTCACGTGGGCATATCAGATGAACATGCTGAAGAAAAGGTGAAAAAAATGAAGCTGCCCAAGAAGTAAGTTGAATGTCTGAGCAACACTAAGTAGTCTGTGCGTTCCTTTAGTGAACTGGACTCTTGTAGCTAAACTGCGTCGCTCTTGTCGGACACGTATATCCTATGCATATGCTATAAATTCCAGAATTTAAACTTGCTGTATCACACTCGGGACTACATCAAGTCTATGGTGACTCTGTGGAGTCTCCATCACAGCACCCAGAGGGGAAACAAAACTCACAAAATATTTGGCAGTGTGATAGAAAAAGTATGTTCTCTTCTGTGTGCTTGTGTGTGTGAACACGTGTGCCCACGTCCTAACTGACTGCATGTGGTTTCTCATTTTCTGCCCAAAAAAAGTGTATATTTTTGTTTGCTTTTACAAAGAAAATCTATTTTAGGAGTAGCTGTGAAGTCGGTATCATCACTCCCATTTTAAGACGAGAAGCTGAGGAAGTGAATGCTCTAGGGATGATTTTGCTGGCGGTGCTACAACCTGTTCAGTGTCTCAAAACCTCAGCCTTGCATCTGCCACAGGTGCTGATAATGCCTGCTTCGCAGGGGCTGGAGGTCCTAGGGATTAGTGAGTAAGTGCTCAGCAAGTGACAGCCGCTTCGTGTTACTGCTTTTTCTTTATTTCAAGTATTCAAGCCACTTTTCTGAGGCCTGCACGTTGTAAACAGCAGGCCTAGAAGGGTGTTAAGTAATATGGAGATAAAAACAAAGCAGCCCCTCCATGATTTCCGTCAGTTGCAGCAGGCCTCAGGTTACCCCAGATAAACATAAAATTCAAATAGAAACAGTGTGTGTGCTATGCAAATGCAAATCCTGGCAAGTCCTCTAGTCCAACAAGCATTTTTACCTAATCCAACAAACTCCATTTAAAACATATGGATAAAACTATATTATAATTACCTTGCACATTTTTAGGTTCTAAAGTTTTTCTTTAAAAGTTTAAACAGTTCCAAAGGATGCTATTTAAAGACATATTTCATACATTTACTCTTTGAAATGACACTTTTATGTCACTTTTAAGTGTATCTGATAGAAGCAGATTCACAGTGTTTGCATATGTATCATTATTTATTTAAAATCTACACGTGCGAGTTACTGGTCACAGGGAATCTGACATCGTCTTGCCTTTCTCTTTGAATTGCATTTCCAATCCGTTTACCCCACAGAATATTACTCTATTCAAATACGCTTTGATTGACCACTCCATCATACTTATTTATAACCAAATGTGCATCTAAGTTGAATTAAAAATTTTTTTTTTGATTTCTATGATCATAGTCCTAAATGTTAAAAGTTTTCTTCTGAGTTATCATTATAATTCAGCCACATCCTTGTTAGTTTTTTTAAAGCTAAAAAGGGAAGAAACTATCTTTCGCTAAAGAATTTATTATCCTCTCCTTACAGTGACTCATTCTGAGTGTTTTAGAAAGTGTATCATACAGGCATCGTTAAGACTAAGACTAACTAAAGAACTTGTAGCTGTATCTGTCACTCTTTCACTGAGAGATTCCTTATGTAACCTAATGTACACAAGGATAAGAAAATGGAAATATTAATTATCTTTGCCACCCTAGTACATTTAATGAGTTTTTTTTTATCATGTACTGTGTATGTGTGCATGTATGTGTGTGTGTATCTCATTAAGACCTTGGGGAAAGCAGTCAGTCTGAAAAGGCTGCATGCTGAATGATTCCAACTGTAGGACTTTGCTGGAAAAGCAACACTTGTGGAGATAGTAAAAAAGGTCAGTGGCCGCCAGAGGTTGGGGGACGGAGAGCTGAACAGGTGGAGAGCAGGGTTTTTAGGGCAGTGAAAATACTCCATATGACTCTGTCATTGTGGATGCCTGTCGTTACACGTGTGTCCAGACCCACAGAACAGACGACACTAAGCGTGAATTCTGATGTAAACTGTGGGCTCTGGATGATAGTGTGTCAGGGTTTGTCAGGGTTTGTCACTTGTGACAAGGGCACCGCTGTGCTGAGGAATGTTGGAAATAGGAGAGGCTGTGGGAGGGGGCACAGTGGGTGTAAGATACATCTCAGTTTTGCTGTGAACTTAAAACTTCTCTAAAAAGTAAGGTCTTTGCAGTAAGTTAGTCTCATGGAGGAATTAAGGTCCTCTGTCTTCAATGTATTTTTACTGACGCTTTTTCTTAGTGTTGCTTTCAGTAGCTGTACACTATTGAAAATAGGTGTGGAAGTGGAAAAGATGGGGTCATTAAACTGCACTCACACCTGCTGACAGTCTGTACTGCATCTAAATTTGCCGGGAGATGCCGTCTGTCCTTACACTATTGGCAAAAATTAAGGAATTTGGTAATGACAGGTGTTGACATGGGTGCAGATCAGCACAGACCTAAAAGGTTGGAGTCTTTCCTCCAACCATTTTAAAGCAGTTTGGCATCATTGTGTAAAAGGAAACACTTGCACACCTCGTTACACCCAGCAGTTTCACTCCTAGAGAGATGCTGTAGAGAAAGTCCCCTCCAGCGCACAGGACGCTCTCGTTCGCAGCAATGTAGTTTGTAACGGCATAAAAGTGCAGGAGCGGGAGGAATGTTACTCAGTGGGAAGACGATTAAGTTGGAGATAGTCATATAATAAAGTGAGTGAATTATAATCGTAAGTGGTAATATAGGTGAACCTAAGAAACAATGTTGAGAATGGGTAAAAACTATAACCCACAAGGTTACATAAAGTTTAGAACTATTTTCTGAGGCTCAAAAACATAAGTATAAAAATATATGTATTTTTTAGAGATACATGCTCGTGTGGTAAGATTAATTTTTTAAAGGAGTGGAATCATAATTCTCAGTAGTAACTCCCTTGGGTTGGAGTGTAGGCAGGGCTGTGAAGTGGGGAGGCGCACACAGATGTGTACAGTGGCATCAGTCATGTTCTGAGTCTCAGCGTGGTGGTGGGTCAGTGG